TAGACATTGATTTGTTTTTTCTTTTTTTTATCCCCTTCTCCCCCCCCCCCCGCACCCTCTCATTTTTCCATCCCTCACTCCGCATCCCTCATTAGACTCCCCACTGGCACATCACAGTTTCCAGGGAGATGGGAGGTGGGCAAGAATGGAGAGGAGGGGGGGGGGTGGTGTGAGAGAGGAGAGAGGTGAGGAATCGTGGGAGTGCAAAAGAGGAAGAGGAAGAGCGGAGAACAATAACTTGACAGCTCACGGTGGAATGTCTGGCTCTCATCCCCTGCGCGCAGATGAGCTGCTGCCAGAATCAATATGAATCATAACCAATATTTACCCATCATGCTGACCCGTGGCTGTCTCGCTAAGCACGCAAACACACACACACACACACACACACACACACACACACACACACACACACACACACACACACACACACAAGGGAATGCAGCTGGTGCCGAATATTCCTGCATTGTTGTGCTCTCATTGTCAGCGGCTGACGCCTCCGCAGTGAAATCCCAGCATGATGCAATGTCAAATATGCTCTCTTTGTTAAAAATATTTGTGCTTTCTTTTTTTTTTTTTTTCTTGTGTAGACTTTGAGGAGCCGGAGGATCCCGCCACTCGTTCCTTTTTCTCCGAAATCATCTCATCCATCTCCGACGTGAAGTTCAGCCACAACGGTCGCCATTTGATGACGAGGGACTACCTCACTGTGAAGGTGTGGGACCTGCAAATGGAGAACAAGCCGCTCGAGACGTACCAGGTATGCATGAGTACAACCGTCTCAATGTTGCGATGAAATGCGATCACCGCATATTGATTTTAGACTCATCGGCATAATCCCGCTTCACTGTCACCCTGCGAGCGCACCCTATTTAGTGATTAAGCCGAGGCTGATTATTGAACCCCTGTCCTGTGAGAAGAGAGATTGCGATGCTACTGAACCAAACTAAAGGGCAAAACCTCCCACTGTGGCCGGTCACACGGGTCACTTCCACACTGCCCGATCAAGAGGGAAGCTATCTGAGGGCAGATCATGATTGATAAGACGTCCGTAAGGCTCAAGGGGATTTCTCAGCCCAATTCCCTCCCCACCTGCTGCCCGTATCGCCCTCGTCACCGGGTCTGCAGGGATTAGCCGGATGTCGAGGGTGTGCACATGCAGTTTATGGGTGTTTGGTTGTCCACTTTGGAGGCAGCGCAGTGGAAAAGTGTGGCCATAAACACCTGTTTATTTTCCAGGTTCATGACTACCTGCGGGGCAAACTTTGCTCCCTCTATGAGAACGACTGCATCTTTGACAAGTTTGAGTGTGTCTGGAATGGATCAGACAGGTGAGATTCCCTTCATGCAGACATTCACCTCCCATCAGACTGTAAATCCCACTAACACTATTCTCTCTCTCTCTTCCCTAACTCAGTGTCATAATGACCGGCTCCTATAACAACTTTTTCCGAATGTTTGACCGGAACACCAAACGGGATGTCACGCTGGAAGCATCCAGAGAAAACAGCAAGCCAAGAGCCATTCTTAAACCTCGCAAGGTACAAGCAGCACCTCACACGCACTCTTTTCAAAACAACACGCATGCAGTGGAACCTTCCAAGTCGCAATCTGTTCAACAAACCCTTATTCCAATGAAGTTGGGAGGTTTTGTAAAACGTAAATTAAAGAAATTATAGAAGGATTTTAACCCTTTTATGGACAGTGGTTACTACAGTGGACAGTTTATCATGTTATCAGGTTACAGGGTTCATCCTTCTAACCCAGGGGTGTCAAACTCATTTCACACTGTGGGCCACATACGGCCTCGGTAGATGTCAAGTGGGCTGAGATTTATAAAAAAAGGAATGTTTAAACCATTTACACATGTGCATATAAAATCTAAATTTAATCGCTGCCTACACTTTACAAACTAAAGACAAAACAGCGGATAATCCATGAATTGCATCTTATTCAAAATATTCCTTCCGTGTCTTTTATGCATTTTAAATTATCCTGCGGGCCTGATCGAACCTCCACAGGGGGCCGGTTCCAACCCGCGGACCGTATGTTTGACACCAGCGTTCTAACCGATTTTCAATCGATTAAACTACAATGATGAGCTATTTAATGCTCAAACACATGAATTTATTTTTTTGTTCAGATTCACTCAATTTTGAATTTAATACCTGTAGCATGTAAAATAAAAAAAAAATTTAAAAATGAAGCTGGGACCAGGTCGTGTGTTACATCACCTTTCATTTTAACAGCACTCACTAAGCATTTGGGAACTGGGGACAATAATTATTGAAGTTTTGTAGCGGAAATTATTTTTTGTACAACTGAACTCTTCTTTAAAAAAGTGTGAGTAAAATATGGACAACACTGGAGACGATTTTTTTTTTTGAATGTACTTTGTGTGTTTTAAATGTTTATTGAATTCAGCGATTCTTTCACGCACAGAGAGGCCGCGTATCACAAGTTCTTCCTCACTTTGAGAACCGCCCTGCCTTACAAGTAGCTACTGGCTGTGGAAAATAACATACCTTGGGGCATTGCTCCCATCTATGGATCTTTTTTTAATGTATTTTATTTGGTCTCTCGGATTGAAACATGTTAAACAGGGGCTCACTGTACCGTTCTGACATTGTCAGTCAGAATAAAGCATGATTATTTTTGAAAAAGCGGGCTTTCGATACTCCTCTGTGTTGTATGTAATCATAACGTGCAAGTGGTGATAATGTTGCGGCTTGCTCGGTGTATGCAAAGGCTCTAAAACTACTCCTCCCTGATCGGCGGTGCTGTTCTGCAGGTGTGCGTGGGCGGCAAACGCAGAAAGGATGAGATCAGCGTGGACAGCTTAGACTTCAGTAAGAAGATCCTTCACACCACGTGGCACCCGCACGAGAACATCATTGCCGTGGCGGCCACCAATAACCTTTACATCTTCCAAGACAAGGTCAACTAAAGCTTACAGACAGAACAGGGGCATTAGGATGACAGAGAAACAAGTATGGAGTCCTGATGTACATCCAGCACCTCACTGGGGCTTGTCGCTGCTGACTTGATGCACCCACTGAGAATTTGCAGTGTTTTCCTGGAAGTGGACGTCCAATTCTGGAATCTTGGGGGACATGACGAGGGTTTGTGGTCATTTAATTTATTTAGCCATGCTCACACGGACAGTAGAGAACCCTTCGCAACAAGATTACAGCTGCATGAGCGGCAAGATGTAGCAAGACCCGAGAGACAAAAGAGGGGGGCAATGCAATGAGCAAAACAGAGCACGGGTGGTGGTGACTCTTTGTCATGTAGCCGGAGCGCCCTCTCTCCATCTATCTGCTGCGGTGCATGTGAGGAATCAGTTTGGACGGCACAGCCAACTGCTGCAAATTCAAAGGGCAGGGGGGAAAAAAAAGACTGTTTTCTGCCTGCCGTCAGTCTTTCTACTTTAGTCTGTGACGTGAATGAGGCTGTTTTTAATGATTTTATTTAATACTGGTCAATGAGTCTGTTTAGCTGCTGTGGTGCCTTCTTTTGGTATGTGGGGGTTCAAAGTAGAGGTTGTGAGGATTGGGGGCAAGGGCGTGGGGAGTGTAAATGTTTCAGGGGTTGGTGTTTTTTTGGGGGGGGGGTTGTTTTCTCTCCCGTCTGTCTGTTATGAACCGAACAAAAATCGTTTTAAGGTGAAGCAATGCTTGACGCAACAAGAATGATGATGACATCACAAGCCTGTCTGCAATGTGAGATCTCTTTACAAGTGACGCGGGAAAACCAGCTCACACCCCTGCTTCAACTGAAAGCAACAATTTGGTAAACTGTACATAAAAAAAAAAAAAAAGTTTGCAATTTCCACTCAAAGGAGACTTAAAATGCATTTTTTTCATACATTTTAGCAGTTCCCAGGTGACCAAATAATGTGTCTGCTTTCGTCCAAATACCGCAAGAATCAAGAATTACAGCACACATTACACACCCTATTTTTTGTCTTGCTAAAATCAGGCAGTTTTTAGGAACAAGAGTCTTGGAACTAACAAGGCTTCGGGGAGAGTGTGTGTGTCTGGCTGCTTTCTTCTACTTGGGGCAGCAGTGTGTGTGGGGGGGGTACTCTGGGCTTCAACTTGTGGAGGCGGCAGTTCATATTACTCCCTATTCTGTGTGTATGGGGTGCACAGGCACAAATGAAAGAATACATCTTCCATTTCCTATGTCCCCTTCAAGAGACAAATTGCAATTCTAAACTGTTGCATGTGACGTAAGCCAATGAAGTTTCGATCACTGAACTTCGACAGACCGTCTGAAGCACTCGCTGAGGTCGTACTTGCTTTCCTCAATGATGTTTTCATCTCAGATTGTTTGTCCATGCCCGTTGGTGGAGTGTGGTCTCACGTTGCAGGGTTGATTTTAGCACCTGTCGGAGGTTTTGTGTTAAGAACCAGCATCCACTGAGGTAAGCACTCAATAAAAAGGTCTAAGCAAAAACTCTGTGAAATCAGGGAATTCATAACTGTACATATGCTTCCTTTAAACAGTACGACCTTGATTTGTGAAACTTTTATAGCTCAGAATGTAATAATATGAATGACCATGGCGTCTTTATGCTCACTGGACTTTTCTTTGATTAAAAAATAAGTAATAAAGATGTGCAAATTCAAACCAAGGTGTGATTCTGTTTCTATCGAGCAGCAGGTGAGGGCGCCCCCATGTGGACATAACGGATATAATGACAATCTTTTTAAATGTAAAACGAAAAACGGCGTCCTCATTTGAGGTGATGAGAAGTATTTCTGGGAATTTTTATTTGTAATATATTCATATATTCTTTACTAATAAATTGTGGATTAGCAAAAGTTTGATGGACATTTATTGTCTAAAAGGGACACAGCAGTATTTTCACATTTGGACAACATACTACATGAATGTTATTTTGTCTTGAAATAAGTTCATTTGTCTTGAAATAAAATAAAAACTGAAATAGAATCGATTGAGTGCAGGAATAATCCTCACCACTATGTGTCAAGTCGTGTGAAATGGTCCCCCACCGCTGTGTGGGCTCCTTAATTGGCCCCGTGAGAGCCACGTCGACCGCTTTTTCTCAGCTGGGCACCAGCTGCCAATCAAACAGCATCTTTATAAGTCACCACCCAAGCTGCACAATCGTTTCTTGGAATAAATCCACAGACAGACAGACGCTCCCCCGAGATCACTGCCGATCGATACGACAACAGTCAATTGGTTTGATTAATGAAATAATAATCATAAATACAGGCTCATTTTTCTTGCTTTCTTTTTGTCATTTATAACTATTTTCACTTTGTCTCTTTTTTGGGGAGAGGGAAGAGATGAACAAACTGTCTGGGAACAATTCGACGGTGATGAACAGCTCCTTAAGCAAGTGGTCGTTTAACGATGGTGGCTCCTTCCAACATTTGGACCCCGGCGAGTTGAGGGTTCTGGTGCCGGCGGTCCTGGGCATCATTTGCGTCCTGGGCTTGGCTTGTAATTTAACCGCCATGGCCATCTTGTTGTCCAATGCCCACAAAGGCAAACTGTCTCTCATCAACTCACTCATCTTCAACCTGACGTTCGCCGACGGCCTGGTGCTGCTCTTCAGCGTGCCCTTCAGGGCCGCCTCCTACTCCAAAGCCAGCTGGACACTGGGCTTGGTCGTGTGCAAGACGTCCGACTGGTTCTTACACTCGTGCATGGCGGCCAAGAGTTTCTCGGTGGCCGTCATGGCCAAAGCCTGCTACCACTACGTGTCCAACCCGACCAAGCAGGTGAGCATCCGCCTGAGTTCCATCCTGGTGGCACTGTTCTTCATCTGGCTGTCGGCTTGCGCCGCTCCGATCCCTCATTGGCTCTTTGCCAGGCTGCAACAGGGGCTACACGGGCTCATGTGCGTGCTGCGGGTCCCCCCCGAAGCATGGGACTTCATGTCTGTGTACATAAAGGCTTACCCGCTGGGTGTCTACTGCGCCCCCCTCAGCTTTTCCCTCATGTACTTCTGGAAGGCTTACGGCCAATGCCAGCGCCGCTCCAGTAAGACTCAGAATCTGCGCACACAGATCAGGTCCAGGAAGCTCACCTTGATGCTCTTCAATCTCACCTTAGCCACTGGCATCCTCTGGCTGCCGCAGTGGGTGGTGTGGGTTTGGGAGCGCCACTCGGCAGCCGGTGGATCGCAGAGCTCCATCTCTTCCCCGCCTCTTCTCATCACCCTCTCGGCTCAGATGCTCACCTTGTCGCTGTCCCTCGTCAACCCTCTCATCGTGCTCTCCCTCTCAGAAGAGTTCCGGGAGGGCTACCGTGACCTGTGGAGACGCCTCACCCTGCGCAAGCAACCTCCTTCCAAGATCAAACCCGGACCTCACAAACCCACCTCGCTCCAGTCGCCTTGTCCCAGACCGGAGACGTCCGGCCAGCAGAGGGAAGAGAGGAGTCTCGGATCATCAAGCACCAAGCCGGGAACCAGCAGAGATGAGCAGCTGGAGCACGGCACAGCCAGGGGAGGCGACGTCGACAAAGATGGTCTCGTCTTGCCCGACGTGGAGCAGTTCTGGCACGAGAGGGAGTCCGGATCACATTTGGATGAAAATGACCCGGTGCCGTGGGAGCATCAGGACCACCAGGAGACGAATTAACAACCAGCTATCCCTCCGAATGATCCCTGTGACACTTTCATTCTTTTCATGAATTGAATTCTGTGCTCATCTTTTGGAGATAACTAAATGTACCGTAGTATTATCTGTGAAACACATCCTTTTCATTGTTTGCTTGAAAAATGTAAAACTGCGTGTAAAGTAGACAGTTAAGCCCACAATTGTTCAGATCAGGTCCTGTTTTAATTTAACTGAGTCTTTTGCCACTTTCTTGTACCCAGCTGAAAGATGTCCGTTCAACAAATAAAAATATTGATTCAGGGCTTAACTGTACAATAGACCTCGTGTGTAATTTGCCCGCAATGAATGCTGTTATTAAAGTGCAGCTTTTTTGAAGAATACACAGAGAAAAAAATGTTAGTTTGTTCTGTTTGGTATTGACCTTGCTGCTGTTGGATGTTAATAGTCATTAGAAGGAGTAGTATTTTGCAATGTATTGCGCTTGTGGAGGCTCTGTGATTCCAGGCATGTTATATTTGCATTTATGTATGTACAAGTGACCAGCATTTAGAATAAAGTCATCCTTAACGATTGTGCCTGATAGGTCACGTCTGTCAAACTCTTTAGGTGACACACTAGCTGGGTCATAAATGAGCGGCTGATCCCCCGCTGACATCAGTTCATTAAATATATTTTTATAAGGGCATCCGTTGGGCTTTCTAATTAGGGCTTTTCCTCTGAACTCAGATGGAGCCCGTTCAATGGACTCTCTCTCTGCTCCTCATTGATCTGCATGTACAGTTGCTAATGAGAGCTGTCGCAAAAAAAACAAAAAAAAAAACTATACATGCTACGAATGATAGCTGTCAGATATGATCTGAGATGGAGGATGGTTTATTTTTGACATTTTTATGCTGCCAGCAAAATGTTTTTGGCATTGTCGAAAAGTCCACCCAGAATACATTTTTCTACAGCCTCGCCTGCTTGTGACATTTTGCCTCTCATTAATCATTGATGTTGACCTTTCTTTGCCTGAAGCAAGTGCCTCAATGAGAGCAATACTCAACTATATAAGCCACCTGTGCCTGATAGGTCACGTCTGTCAAACTCTTTAGGTGACACACTAGCTGGGTCATAAATGAGCGGCTGATCCCCCGCTGACATCAGTTCATTAAATATATTTTTATAAGGGCATCCGTTGGGCTTTCTAATTAGGGCTTTTCCTCTGAACTCAGATGGAGCCCGTTCAATGGACTCTCTCTCTCTCTCTCTGCTCCTCATTGATCTGCATGTACAGTTGCTAATGAGAGCTGTCGCAAAAAAAACAAAAAAAAAACTATACATGCTACGAATGATAGCTGTCAGATATGATCTGAGATGGAGGATGGTTTATTTTTGACATTTTTATGCTGCCAGCAAAATGTTTTTGGCATTGTCGAAAAGTCCACCCAGAATACATTTTTCTACAGCCTCGCCTGCTTGTGACATTTTGCCTCTCATTAATCATTGATGTTGACCTTTCTTTGCCTGAAGCAAGTGCCTCAATGAGAGCAATACTCAACTATATAAGCCACCTTCACTCCCTGGGGCGGAGACCTGGCCATAAACACTGAGGGCAAGAAGAAATGCATTTAATGTTGGCCAGATTCGTTGATGTCCAAAGGGTAATAATACAACAGTACAGTACAACAGTGTCTGCGCCCCATTAGTCTATAGCAGGGGTCCCCAACCCCCAGGCCGCGGACCGGTACCTGTCCGTGGGCCATTTGGTACTGGGCCGCATAGAAAGGATAAATAACTTACATTACTTCCGTTTTATTCATTTCGGAATCTGAAACATGTTTTATTTTCTCTGTTACATCCGTCTACAGTAAGTCACTCTTGACGCAGATCAAGGCGGGGCTTCTTGGTCACGCGATAGGTTACCGCTAAAATGAAACCCAGGAGCTAACAAAATGAGTTAAAAACAAAGGTCTTGCAAAGTTTTTTTTTTTTTTTTGGAAGGGGAAAAGGCCCAGCCAGGAGACAGAAAAGGAGCCTATGACTTTCAAGAAAAAGAAGGCTACATTTAATAGACAGTATCAGGAGTCGAACCTAAAATACGGATTTATCTCAACGGGAGATTCCCACGCACCAAGCCCGTAATTTTCATGCATTTTTTGTCTGCAGTCTATCTTATTTTGAAGGCATGTTTAAACGTTACCTTAGCGACCAGAGAGTGTTGCGGCCAGATTGGATGTTCCTCGTGTCATGATTCGTGTTTATCATGTTTTGAAAATACCACAGCTTTCATGCAGGTCATATCATATTATTCTGTTGTATTTATCTGACCTTTAAAGGCAAAAAATATTGTCTGACATTAAACCGGTCCGTGGGGCAAAAAAGGTTGCGGACCGCTGTTCTATAGTACAGGAGCAGATGTGAGGTTGATATCAGGGATCAGGGTGAATAAAATAATCAAGCTTTAATCACAGAGAAAATGTTTCGAAAAGGTTGAGATAATCAACATCTAATCGGCGAAAACCTAATCAGGTCTTTCGGCGGGGCTGGGTCGTCTCTTTACTGCCCCCCGGCAGTGTCCCCCTGCTGCGAGAAAAGGCGGGGGTGTTTCATCACTCAGCCAATCATCATTTCTTATAAATGAATCACTCCAGGAAGTGACACGCTCGTCAGACTAATTGTGGTCAGCGGGAGGGGGCGCTTGCAATTAAACCTGTCTGCTGATGCAGACAAGTGTCCCCAAGTGTCAATTTACTTCTATAGAGGGTCCCGAGTACATATTTATATGTATAAGTGTGTGTGTGTGTGTATGTGTGTGTGTGTGTGTGTGTGTGTGTGTGTGTGTGTGTGTGTGTGTGTGTGTGTGTGTGTGTGTGTGTGTGTGTGTGTGTGTGTGTGGTCTGCTCCTGGTATTTCGGAGGCTTTTGATTAGAATAAATCAGAGAGCAGCCCGGTAAGAGACACTAAGGTACTGATGTGGCTGTGTGAACCACTTGCAGCAACAGTGTTTCATCCACATGAACCTATTTTATTCAGCCTACTTTGAAGTGAAATCCATGAATTAAATCCAAATATAATTATACCGCTCAACAGCAAATTTAAAAAAGAGATGGCTATATGCGTCTCTAAATGGATTTTTGATGGTTTCAAAAATGTCTACTTTTTTTGTTTGTTTTAAAGTTTGACCAAAAGAGCTCACGCAATACAGATTTTTTTGCCATGCATTGAAATTTATAGCTACAAAAAAAATCATAATTGCGACTGTTGCGGAACTTAAACCTCAGCTCATTAATCTTATTAAACGTATTATTATATTACTGTTATAATATTATGATGAAAACCTGATGTGTTTGACAAAAAAATGAGCACAGATTCTGAATCAGCATACCAAAAAAAAAAAATCATTTCGAACGGTGATGTTGAAAAATATGTTGAACAGTGTTATTCTTCAGTTCAACTGTGAACAATAAAACCTCCAAAAGGTGACAAAGAATGTGAAACATGAAATATTTTATTGAATTCCAGTTGAAAATTCAATGTTGCAGTGCCTGAGTTTGCATAGATCTTTGGAAAAGACACAATATGGCAGCCTTGTATCCATATTAGAACACCAGTTACTTTCCAAAGTCTTGATCTTAAACAGTACATTCATCATGGCACTTCCCTATTGCAATGCCTCCCATCAACAATGATGCATACATGAAGGACAAGCAACATCGAATGTTCATTGACACAGATTCCACATTTGATTAAATTAAAATTACGGTGCAATTCAAGAAAGTTTCGCAGACATGAAAAATAAAGCTCTAGCTAAGCACCAAGGTTTGGGGTAAAACGAAAATCTCACTGCCAGTAGAGTTTAGTGAGGGGATTATTTTACAGAATATTTACGGTATGTACAAAGGTCTTAAAATAAAGCTATGAAAAAAAATCCCATGTAAAATATAAAGTGGCCTTAATATAAAATAACAGATCACTTATGACATGCCTCTCATCAAAATGAACATGCATCTTTTCTGCAAGGCGTCCGACTGGTCCCCTTGAGTCCAGTTAAAATCCCAATATTACCCACAAATAAGAAGCATTAACATTTCAGCACTGGTCTATTCTCTTAATGTAAGATATCCATTTACTGCCGATGCACTTTTAGAGGCACCATCTTTGATCTAAACTGTAAACATTCATGTTTTGTTTTATTTTTTGCTTTGGAAATAAATACTCCAGCGACTTGACACTGCCTACATATAAAATCATTCACATTTGTTTCCACTTGGCCACCGCATAAATAAAATGCAGTCCACAGGTCCGGGGGGGTCAAGTATCTTAGATTACATGGTCAATATCTCCCTGAGGTTCAAGATCTGGAAGGAGGGGGACAATAAGATGAAGAGTGTCTTTAAAACAATAACATAAATAAAAACAGAAAACAATGATTTGCAAGTCATTTAATCGAATACACTACAAAGAATTCCGCAACAGATGAAAGAACCATCTCCCCAGCTAGCTCTGGACCCAACGCAGCGCAGAAATAGTTAAGGTAAGCCGTTTTAAACAAAAGAGAAAACATTTCCATAGGAAGAAGCAGAAGGTTCGAAATCAAATGGAACTGCCATCAGCAAGATTAGCCAAAATATGAAAAAAAAAGATGAAAAATACGTTACGTGCCTATGCGTTCACTGTAATTCAGATTTACAGCGTTACAGCAGGATTTTTTTTTTTTTTGTAAGGTGATTATGTTGTTTGACATGACGTCATCAATCCATATATTTCGAGATGTCAAGATGCTGTTGGCAGAGTACACCTGAGTCATCCGTTTAAATTCCACTTGCACTGGCAACTATTTGAATCATATCCAATTTGAAGATAACCGATTCCATGCATATTTTCTAATCATGTTGCCATGACGTAAAAATGAATTGCGCCACAAAAGGAAAAAAAAACCTTTCAAAATTGGTTCACGAGAGCCACACATTGTAAATGCGGTCTAAAACTTCATCAGTTACCTGCTTGGCTTTTTATGTTCAACAGATGGAGCCAAAGCAGCCTTTCCCATCAGCAGTGCATCAGCGGTGACGAGTTGGCCTCTCGATTGGTGCTATAAGTCACAATGAAAATATATGCTGTTCGTTACTCATGCACGAGGTTGTGTAAGTCCAACAAATACTATTCACCGTTGCCGGTCTGCTGCCAGGACAAGGTGGCGGAGGCCTGTTGGGGGGCTCTGATCGAGATGTGGAGGGGGAAAGTGCAGATGAAGGTGGCAGAGGAGCCTGCTTTCGCCTCAGCTCAGGTCTAAAATGAGCGTTGCTCAGTGAGGATTGTCTCTGGATAAGACTCCGAGACTCACTGTGTTGTGAAGCCAACACCGGAACAGGTGGGGGCTTCACAACAGGACGCACAGAAACATGTTTAGGCCGGGTTGGACACGCTTGGCTCAGATGAGGAGAGGACTTTCTCTGTGGAAACACACACACACACGCACACGCACACGCACACACACACACACACACACACACACACACACACACACACACACACACACACACACACACACTACAAATGTGTGCAATTCCAAACCTTTTTGGTTTGACGTAAATACAGTTTTTGCGCTTCGTGGTTGGGCTCAGTCCTGATCTCCTGCGAACAGCTGAGCTAGCTTCACCTGACAGTGGTGCGTTGACTTACAAGTTGACTTGTCACGATAATGACTACATTAATTTATCGCTCAACGAGAAGAAAATGGACAGAATAGTTTTTTCGGACTTGATAAATGGTACATGTGTTATCATCAATCACTCGCTCACTCGCACAGATTTAAACACTAAGGGTGGAACCCGTTTAAACAATTTGGTTTGCATGTGAGTGTCCCTTTGGTTTATAGGCACATGCTACTCTTTTTTCTCATTTAGTAATGAGCTGCAGGAGTGTACATTATTACTAATATAAAACATGTTGCATTCATGCTAAGCACGGAGAGGCTAACAGTCTACGGTGCGCTTTTATTTGATTGCTTGTCATGCACCATCGGTTCTGGCAAACATTCATTACGCCCACCAGGAACTTAAAGTGACTGGACGGCACCGTTATCCATTTCCAGAGCCAGAATTGACAGCGAGACCAGATTAATGAGTCTGTATCACTCCGCTGCTGGTGCATCGCAGGAACTAACAGCTCGCTTGAAATCGCTTTGTACTATATCCTGAGGAAGTGCGCTGTCAACATTTGCCATTTTATTGTATCAAAAAACAAAAAAATATTTATGAGTCCATGTTCCTGGTTTCCATAGCAACCACTTTTCAGCGGTGGCATCGATTTTTGAAAAAATTCACCATGGTCGATAAAAAAAAAAAAAAAAAAAGAGCAGGCGAGCATTACATCTGTTACAAAATGCTGACGAGGCTGAGTCAAAGGATGATGGAGACAGCGAGTCCGAGCAAGAACTGCCTGCTCCCTGTGAAGAGGGGGTGTATGGTGACAAAGTTCAAGGTTTTATTAGCTTTTCGTAACATATTGGCTGGGAGATGTGATAGAGGGGACAACAGGGGGCTCTTTCTGAAGCCGCACCCGTCTGCCTCAGAGGGGGACGGACGGGACTTGGTGGACTCTGGTGGTCTTGGAGAGGAGTTACTTTACATCATTTACATGAAAAGATACTCCCAACGGACTTAATAAATACAATATTTTGGATAGCTACTCAAACAGCGAGTAATACTGCAGTCCTTTTAGATGATGACGTCATTGCCAAAGCACAAGCTATCAAAATGGGACTGTCTAAAATGGTTAACGTCAAAAAATGTACAGTCACATGCACATCTCTACGTATGCCCACGTCAACCTCTGAAAATATTCAAACAATCACCACGCTATTTTGGATTTTATAGGCATAATAGAGGTCCACTATAGAGAAAAGGCTTAATGTTCGGACACTATGACCAATTGCCACCAATACTCAAATGCACATCTCCACTTACGCCCACTTCATCCTTTGAAAATATCAAAGCAACATCGAAGTATTTTGGATTTTACCTGTTGTTCCAAGTCTTGTTTCTTGAGCAAGAATGTTGGGTTGGTGTGACCATTCACATGGCCGTCTGCATGCAGGGGCTTGGCTTCGACTGGGACTGAACTACTGAAGGTCCGAACACAAGCACATGCGCAAAAATGTTTGGACAAGTCAAGCAAATGCAAACAGACTTACTACGGCATTTTCAGCACTAGATACCTCGGTGCGGGTGGCGGAGCCGATGTTTTCAGCGGCTGGAGTTTGTGTTTATAGCAACACCACAGTCCAACAGCCAACCCGACAAAGAAAAGCAGAGGAAGGACCAGCAGCACCGGAAGGAGGTTGCCTGTTGGAATAGAGTGTGTGAAAGGCATGTGGTTCCAAATAAATAATATTGATATGTGCTGAAAGACATTGTCTCACTGTGACTGATGACAGGTCCGCTGTCCACACTCCCGCCCGGCCCTCTCTGGTTACATAAAGGCGGGGCCCAACCACTCTCACAGTGACAGTTGTGGTTGTTGTTACACAGCTGGCGAGAGATGAGGACACAGGTTTTTGCGTCACAATGACCGTGTCAGAATCTTTCAGTTGTACCACATTTTAGGCCTGCAGGAGCAAATTATTGGGCCACATGGATAGTTACCAACAGGAAGTGACAGTGCAAGAAAATACAGGGTTGGTCTCTCTTAATGTTGTTCCTAATAATATTCAATGACAGTGGATAATTTGCATCTTCCACAAATAAAGAATGAAGGTTAATTAGAATATTACAATATCATATCATGAATACGATATACTGTATAATAAAACTGCATTCAAAATTATTCAAATCACCTTTAATAGTTATGGTTATTCAGTTCGACCAATTGAAATACCTCAACACGTGTAATATTTGAAATGATGACTATTTAATAAAGTGGCCATCAGTCTTGTTTGACTTCATTTTATTTGAATACATGTTGTGTCAAACACTGCAACTATATTAAACGGAAAGATTGTAATATTTTACCAACGTTATAAAATGAGGAAGTTGCATTTGTACAAAACGGATCACAGTGACTAAACCCTGATTGAAAACACCATCACAGTGTTAACGTGGTAATGACAGATGATGTAATGGTTGGGCTATTTTGTCTGTTTTTACTGGGGGGTTTAGAGGGGAGGGGTTCTGCAGAAGACACACATGGCGTTAACTGAAGCTTGAATACTATTAGAGCGGACAACCACTATTCAAGTCCTTTTCATTACGGTCTTATGAAATTCGGTCCTTAAAACTGAAATGAGTCTTAGCAGGCTTCAGTTTTTCAAACTTTTGTACCTTGAAAGTAACCCAATTGACTTATCACACAAAACTCACCCCATGTCCATTACATTTGGAATGGCAGTCATCAGCTTTCAGGAAAGATGCGTTACGGCATTCGCCGTTGAAGCAAATCTATTGAAAGTGATCAATGAACATTATGGAGGGGCTTTGAAAACTCAAATAGTGACGTAAAAAGACAGACAATACATAATGATATGATATTATTGTTGTCTTACTGAGTCATCTCCACATTTGGTGCCAGTCATGACGAGGCCTGGGTCCAGAGTGTCACCCTGCACCTCTTCATCTCTCTGCCCAGGCTTGTAAACGTGTGTTCCCATGCATTGCACCCTCTTGTTGCCCACGCTCACTGTGGTCTCGATGCGCACTGCATTGCTCTCAATCGGCTTGGAAGCTGAAGAGAGACACTGGATCTTCCCGCATTTAGCATCTCTGCCACAAAGAAAGAAAGAGTATCATCAAATTATTGAGTTTTTGGATAATACAGAAAATATAATTGTTTAAAAATGCAATTATTGCCACATTTACAGTTGTCCAAGTGCAATATGCGTAATGTATACCTCACCTGTCCTGACAGCTCCTGTATTTCCCAAACAGATCTTTACCACAGTTGCCATACATGTCGCCAGCTTCATTGACCTTCTTAAAACACACATCGTGGGCCGGGCGACCATCTGTAAAGGACACACGCACATCCATGCACACGGCGTGTTATTCCACCCCCTGATGGAAAGCAGATGGCATCCCTCACTGGTCTGTGTGGGACTCCTGTGATACAGCAAAGACGCCCCAGGGAAGTTCTGTCGCCGTGTGAACTTGGACACCAGCCTACAACAAATCCCGAGGCTTTGCCAGTAAGGCTAACATCTGACCTCTGTCTGCTTCAACCTTCAACAGCTCTTCATGTACTCGGAAATAATTTGTCTAAATACCCAAAATCTCTTTCTCTCTCTTTCTCTTTCTCTCTCTCTCTCTCTCTCTCTCTCTCTCTCTTTAACTAAACCTTTAGTGGATTTATTGATCTATTTTTTTTTTCATCAGCTAAGTCCAGAAAACATAAGGTAATTGCTGTCTGTGCCCTGTGATTGACTGGTGGCCAGTCCACTTATAATAGTAATAATAATAATAATAATAATAATAATAATAAAAACAATAATAACAATAATAAAACGGCATCTTACTCATGCAACAATAATTTGGAAAAAGGGGGTTCTCAACGGGGTGATCCGTCACCACTTATTTGTGCTGCATGTTTGGAACGACGACAAGTAATGCTGCAGTCAACCACGAGAGGGGGCTAATGTGACACGATACAAACTGGCGACTTGCTCCTTTCCCAATCGTGATTCAATCAATCACATACAACGGACATCTAATGAACTTTGGAATCACTCATAGATTGATTGAAAATTCCGAAATCGAATAGTTCCCTCTGACAAATGACTTCGGGAAGGTTTGAAAGGTGCATATCATTTATTTCAATGAGTGAATGGTGGAGACAACCATTCACACTCATATTCATACCAATGTCTTCTGATACACTAGGTCGACATCCATCCATCCATCCATTTTCCGAACCGCTTGATCCTCACTAGGGTCGCGGGGCGCTGGAGCCCATCCCAGCTGTCCTCGGGCAGCAGGCGGGGGACACCCCGAATCGGTTGCCAGCCAATCGCAGGGCACACAGAGACGAACAACCATCCATGCACACATCCACACCTAGGGACAATTTTGAGTGTTCAATCAGCCTGCCATGCATGTCTTTGGAATGTGGGAGGAAACCGGAGCACCCGGAGAAAACCCACGCAGGCCCGGGGAGAACATGCAAACTCCACACAGGGAGGCCGGAGCTGGAATTGAACCCGGTACCTCTGCACTGTGAAGCCGACGTGCTAACCACTGGACTACCGGGCCGCCCACTAGGTCGACAGTTCAATGTTATTTTTCCCCCTGATGTACAGTATATCATCTGGTTTACCCTCTTTTTTTTGTGTGTGTGTGTAACCATGACACTAAATTTGAACTGTATTTTACCGTATTCTGTACAAGCGTCACTCACCTCGTCCCCAGAGTGAGCGGCACTGTTGCTCCAGCGTGAGGCACATGCCAGTGTAACAGTAAGCCTTCCCATCCGCACACGATGTGCCATCCACCAAATAGAAGTTAGCAGGGCAAGACTCAGCCTTGCCATCGCAGTACTCGGCCAGGTCACACTGGCCCGACGGAGCTCGACACAGCACGCCCGGGCTCTTCAGCTTGAAACAACATGAAGGGGAGATTGGATGTGAAAGGAACACTGCTCAGGTGATATCCTTTCGGCGGATCATACCTTGCAGTTATGACAACAGACGCCGTGGGCGCACTCAGCACCAGCTTTTAAAGTGCAGTTGTTTGCGTTACAGCAGGGACTGGTACATTCCTGTGTTGGAAGTAATTGGTGAGTCCTTTCATCATATAAACGAATAGTGCACTGATACCAACACACTGACCTCTTGCTCTCCACAGTCGCATTCCTCCCCATCCTCCAGGTAGCCATTGCCGCAGCGCTGTCCTCCATACATGGATCTGGTGTTTGGCTCATTGAAGAGACACTTTCCTCCTCCTGAGCTCAAGTAGCTCTTCAGCTCCCGCATGTTACACGTGTTGAACACACGTGGAAACGGGTGCCTACGAGATGTACGGTATGAAAACAATTGCATACCAAGAGGACATTTTTGTCGATACACCAGTGCAATTAATTAGACGGAACACAAGAGAAGTATCAATACATGCTGCGTCAAAAAAGATAATGATGTTCAATTTTGATCAACACTGTCACAAAGTTATTTCTGGAATTGTGTGTTTATTATTGCCGTTGTTATTTGGGTTTGTGTGTGATTGCAGTCAGTCAGTGCATCGCATTGAAATCTGTTTAACTTTCCGATAAATTCGAAATAGTGGCCTTCACGCTATGGACGCCGTAAAACTGGGTGCATGTGGTAGCCACGTGAATAAAGACATGCTGCAGCACAAATCAAAAATGTCCTCAACAAAAACGGTGCTGTTAAATATATGTGTATATAAATATATGTAATCCTGTTAAATTGTGGTGGGTAAACTAGTGCTTGTTCGACTCCACGGTGGGCAGCAGCCAAGTGCAGATCACATTTCGACAATCCATTCAAACTCACGTTCACACTTATGGACAATCTGTAGTCTTCAGTGAACCACACATGTTTTGGAAATGTGGGAGGAAGCCAAATGCCCAGAAACAAAACAAAACTGGCCGACGAGGACCTCAGATGCAGACGTGCCAGCTGTTTGGCCGTCACGCTGCCCAACTCAAACTATAACCGCCAAAATAAACATATTGTTACTTTCGGTACTGTGACAGTCTCAGTCAAAACTGACCATTTTCTTCGTAAAGGCAAAGACATATGGTCTTGATATAATTGATTCTTAAAACGTTTGCATGATACTTCCTTGCAGTGTACAATCCACAACGAGGAAAAAAAAAGGACAACAAGTTGAGTGTAGCTACCCTGTAGCAGCTGCCATGATGCAACCCCCATCCTCAGCTTTGGCCTGGCAGCAGCCAGCGCTGTCATGACTCATGCCGAAGTTATGGCCCATCTCATGCGCCATTGTGGCGGCGACGCCAACAGCTGACTCCGAGTGGTCCTTTTCCACAATCACAGGTGCAGAGACACATTTCGAAGTTCATGTTTTGAACTATTCAGTCGCTGCAAGATTACACTCTTAAATGTGCTGTAAATTATGTTGCCCAAAAAAAAAAAAAAAGGGAGGGAGTGAAAAAGTAATTCAAGTAGGAATATATTAGTTGCGTCATTAAAGCAAAATTATCCACCAATGGGACACAAAACCTTCATGTGTCATTTTAGATGATGTCATGGGTGTAGTGACTATGAGTTATTTTATTTATTTTAATAATAATAATAATAATAATAACAATAAAAGCTTCCTTGGTCTCACAATGGTGAAAGTCCCAATTGACAGCAGCAAAAGTTATGAAAGCAACAAAGTAGAAGAACGAAAAGTATAGGAGCTGCTGTAAAGGCATTTTTATATTTATGTATTGTTTTAAGTCTGAAATGTGGCCCTTGAGTATAGAGGTCCAATGCCTGCTCTAAAACTTGGTATTTTAACAGGGGTGTGTCGACTTTTTATATCCACTGTACCGTCCAGACATGCACAGGAAATGTTGACTTGTGAGTGTACGTAAACATTTCGACGTAAACATTTCGACGAGATTCACCGTGTTCACGCCACCTGACTGGTATTCAGAGCACATGGCTTTGAGAGGTGCCAACCCAATGGTGGTACCCTGGAATGACTTTCCCCTGGTGACACAAAGTTCCACATTAGTTCGACAACCAGATTGTACAGAACCTGGCAGCCCCACAAATGACATCTTACTAACTAACTAACGTGACTTCAAACTTCTACCGTGTGAGATCTCAAGTTATCGCACGAGAACATTATGTCATCACGATTACAACTCTCACGATCAAAATCAAGCGGCGGGTCACTGACGTGATGAGCTGAGCGTTGTCATTGTGGAGTGTGTGAAGCTGTTTGCGTCTCCACGACAGGAACGCCGCCAGGGTGCTGTGAGGGTTGTCGGACACGTTGATCAAGTCCTGGCTGGTCCACACCTCAAGACCGATCAGCGCCACTCGGATGCTTAAGGCCTTGTAGTACTGTGCGCGTGTGTGTGTGTGTGTGTGAGTGTGTGTGTGTGTGTGTGTGAGGGGGGGGGGGGATATGGTGCATTGACAAAAGGAAAAATGATTATAAAGATGCTAACGGTACTTGTTGTGGCTACAATTTACACAAAAGCGTTTACCTTGTCAACTAAGTTGGCAGCTTCCAGTAATTTCAGTTGGGTCTTCTCGAGACTACTCCCGTGTTTGTCAAACTGAAAACCACATATGGTTAGCAGCAAAGGAAACACAGTCATACATTATTCTTCATTCTCGAGCTACTGCGTAAAAAGGAAATTGTAAACTCCAGATCGGTTTCGACCAAATACAAGAGCTGCATCCGCGCGGCCTTTAAAGAGATAATAATGACGCTCAGTTTTTGAGCTTTTCAGAGATCAAGTATTTTTTTTGTGAACAACAGTTTTATCCTTCTGAATGTTTTTTTTTTTTTGCAATGGTGTTGATCGGATTTCACTGCACTTTTCATCCCATTTAGTTCCACGACATTGGTTAGAAAAATGTGGAAATAGCTGTCAGCATAATGCAGGTCTTTTTGTAATAACATACAGGCGCAGCTCAATAAATTGAACATTGTATTTATTTCAGTGATTTCATTCAAAAAGTGAAATTCAGACAGATTCATTAATTTAACACAGACTAAGACTTTTCAGAAGGCCTCATTTGTACGCCAAAAATATTTTGGGATAGTTTCTTACCGTTTATAATGTATGCAATTCGATTTTTGAATTAAAATACTGAAGTAAATTACATTTTCCACAAATTTTAAGATATTAAGATGAACAGCACACAGGAAATTCATACAGCTTTTGTGTTCGATTAGATTTTGATGTGTGGCTGTGGACAAACTTGCTGTGACTGAATCAAGAATAACTACCCCTCGTGTATTTTTTTGCTTTAAATAAGCACATGTCGAGTCAAATAATGACAGCATTCTTACCTCAGCCTTGTCCGCTACCAACAGTAGCTCCACATATTTCATATTCTGACTCAGGTCTCTTCGTTCCTTTAATTGATTGATTACAAAATAATTAAAAAAATATATATATAATAATAACGCAAAATAAATCTCCAGTGTCAATATATGCAGTATTTTTTTCAAGCCTAGTCCAGTTCACACTCACCCTGAAGCTCGGTGCTGATGTCATCCCCTGGAGGAAGGTGCCAAGGGCCTCCCGGTTACTATAGTGCTGCAGGCAGCTTCTGGGAGGTAGATGGAAACTCTCGGCTCGGAAAACGGCGTGCTGAGGCGTATCCGTAGAAACAGGCTCAATGAGGTAGCTGACGCTCGCGTTTAGAGAAATTAGACCCCTGAGGGAAATAAAAAAAGGCACTGCTCACAGTTCCATCCAGCGGTTGCAAATCATGAAGGATCTATGTTGCTAGTCCATTCTTTTACAAAGGATTTGGAAACAGAATGTTTGCTCGAGACTAATTTATACCCGAAACTGTAACAATGGAGACAAATATCTTTTTTTTTTTCCCCCGTTTTGTCCCATTTATTAGCCCTGAGACAGTGGCAATAGTGTGCAATGCTGTTGATCCCTGGTACAAGATTTCAGTGGTCTTTGAACATTTTATTTCCAAGAGATATGGAAAAAAATATTTGTTGCTGTCCTGGTCAGACGTCATCATTTAAAACAGATTATTTATTTTAGTTTCAAGCACCTGTATTCTTACAATCGGATTAGATCCGACTAAAGTTTAGAGGCTAAACAAAAAAAAACAAAACACAGCAACAACAACAAAATCAATTTAATCGGTCAGATACATACTGTAGATACATCCGCGGCTCAAGCAGCTGCACTAAACATCTGGAGAGGTCTGACATCCACCCATGTGTCCGGCAATGCCTGAGAAGCTTTATTAGAATTCATCTAGTCATCTAAATGGAGAGCAACAGACTCTCACAAACATGGATAAGTGTTCTGTCCTGTGCCTCGGACTGCCTCAAGTATTGGAGCCAAAGCAAGAGAAAAAACTGGGCTAAAGCTGAGACCTCCAAACCTACTGCACCACATGAGTCACAATACACGTTTCAATAGTTTACAGTTTATTTAGCAATTTTTTTTTTTTTTTAACAAACCCCAATTCCAAGGAAGTTTGGACAGTGTGTAAAACACAAATCCAAACGGAATTCAATGATTGCAGAGCGTTTTCACCCTACTGTATATTCAAAAGAATACAGCACGGTGGGTGGATGACTGGTTAGCACACCCGCCTCGCAGTGCAGAGGTCATGGGTTCAAATCTGAGCTCGGGCTTTCCTGTGTGGTTATTTGCATGTTCTCTCCATGGATTTTCTCCGGGTACTCCAGTCTATTCCCACATTCCAAAAACATGTATGGTAGTTTGATTGAAGACTACATTGTCCCAAGGTAAGAATGGAAGTGTGAATGGTTGATTTGTCTACTCATGCCCTGCGATTGGCTGGCAACCAGTTCAGGGTGCACCCTGCCTCTTGCCCTGAGTGAGCTGGGATCAGCTCCAGCAAACCCGCACCCCTTGTATGAATAAGTAAGATAGAGAATTTATGGACGGACAATGCAATTCATATGTATTGTTGAAATGCAACAAAATTGCAAAAATTCTCTCATTTTGAATTTGAGGCCCACATTGGCTATTCGGCCTGTAGCCACCCAGGCCACGAGGTGCTCGCCATCTCCAGGCCAGGCTCCAGACGGGGGCTCTAGTGACCCACGTCCAGGCTGGGGAATATGAGGTCCATTTATTTTTCTCATCAAAGGGAGTGAATGAGTTGTACTTTGTCTGGTCTGTCACCTATGACCTGTTTGCACACGATGAAAAGGGAGAGGATTTTCTACGAAGATATCTTTTCTTTTTATGAATTAACTTCAATCCAGGGAGCATTGTAACACATTTGCACGGGTGGGGAAAAACATTTATAAAGCAATATGTTTTACTGGGATGCAAGTAACAATATCTATTATCCAGGAAGGCAAAAGGCATCACAGTATATGCTGCAGCTTTGATTCCTGAGTGGAAAAATGCTCAAATCTGCAAGGTAACGCTTAAAAAAAAAAAAAAAAAAAAAAATGTAATCAAAATTTAACCACAATGTCCCTCTCTCAAGCATTCTATTGTAATCCATGTCCAAATATAATGATGTTGTAATATTGTAACGTATCTCTGAAGCAGGTGTGGTCGAGGTAGTTCTTACCTGAGACCTGAGCATGTGCTGAGAGCCACACTGGAACCGTCTACACCTGCAACCTCTCCGTGGTATAAACAGTGATTCTAGAAGAGCAAAAAAAAACCAAAATCAACATGCAGCTCATTAATGAACAATCATCTCCATGCCTGGTTGTTCCTCATTGGCATCCATATAACTGGAAAATTCCGTGTCAGCTATGACACGATTATTTGCTGCCATGAAACATCACCAAAGTGTTTCACAACTTACTTTGTTGACAGGAGAGAAGGATCTGCGACTTCCATCCGGAGTGTACCATATTTCCTGATATCCAGGGGTCAACAGCTGCCTGAGGGAAGACATTCCAATTTTATTTACCTACCTCTTATTTAACTACCTGTTCGGACAGACTTGTTCATCTTTTGAAGGAAGTGACAGTCTCGAGCAGGGGTGCCCAAACTTTTTGGACCAAAGATCAACTTTTCGATCAACCAACCTCCGGCGATCGACCCCTTATCGCGCACGCAGATACACACGCACGCCAGGATGAGCAACAGCCTGACACGGAGGCGTGCGATGCACTTTTGCAGACTGTTAACTATCGGAGCAAACATGTACCGTTTTAAAGTGCTTCCCTCAGCCCTCTTGATTCCTATTCTTTTTTTTTCTCCTCTACACCCCTCGCGATCGACTAGGGACCAGTCCGCGATCTAGCAGTCAATCACGATCGACATAATGGGCACCCCTGGTATATAGCAAAGCAAAGCAAAGCCTTTTGAACGATAAAAGAACAGTTAACTCCTGCCTATTCACACATTCTCCTTGCAATTTATTTTCTTTTGAACCTAGTTAACAACTACTTGCCGGCTCAAAGATTTACACCAAGAATGTTAAACTCATCCAGATCGCTGTCTCAATCAACCCATCCTTCCTGTTTGTAACGTTTCCAGCTCAACAGCTGCTTGTTTTTCTCTCCAAATAACCCAGTTCTTATTTCTCCGGGCATATAGTTTTGCGAATATCCATCAAACCATCTGCAGCTATGATGCAATGAGAACAGACAGAGAACTCCTGCTGGATTCGATTTGGGATTTTCTGAAATTATTTCACACTTGACCTTTAAATTCAGAGCAGGGGAGATGCGCAAAACAGACACGCTGAAGTTCTTGCAGGAGTTTGGCGAGTGCATAATGAAAGGAACTGCAAAAAGATCTCTTTCCGGTGATGTATGGCTGCTGTGACGCGGGCCTTCCAATCTTTGTGTGACAACAACCCCCACGGTTGGCATCCATCATACACGTCCGTGGAGTTCAGAATCTGTCTGCCTACCCCTCACTCAAATTTACCAAAAGTCAAATGACACCACGACTTAGACCTGCTTTTACCTAGTCTACGGTCTGGTCACCCCTCTGTCACCAATTCGTTAGGCGCGCCGGGGGCATGTAAAAGGAAACTCCCTCGGCCCGCCAGAATGGCCAGCATGACGGAATGTGATCCGTCAAATTCCCAAACATGGTAAACTACAATTGACCCAGCACGAAAATGAAAATGTGCCGGTTTGCACGCCGAGTACATGTGCGCCTGTCGACGAAAATAGAATCCAGTGTGTTAAAGACCTTTAAAAACACACACACTTAGCATCATCAATACTATAGAACAGGCCTAGGGTGTATTTATGCAGGATATTTCTATAGCACGGATTTCACGCATACCAGGGATGGTCTAGAATGTAACCCACGTGACGGAGGGGTGATTAGTGGATATTCATCTCGTCAAATCTCACCAATCAGCCTCATCATTGCTTTGGACTTAATGTTACAAAAAAAAAAAAAAAAATTATGAAAATCTTGTTTGCATTGCACATCAGGCGACTTCAACTAAAGAGGTTCCACCGCATTTTCCCCAAAATCCTTTCAGTCGCTGATAAAAGACAAAGGATGTAAAGAAGGGGTTTTTCTTTTTCCTCTTAGTGAATCAGAAGCCCTTAAAGAGA